GAAGGAAGCATGTTCCGTGAGAGACAACGGGAAGCACGCGAAATACGGGAAACTTGGCAAGTCAAGAAAAGAGGCCCAAATTGGTCAGTTTGTGGCGAGGCGACGGCAAGACTGCTTATTACTAACTGACCAGAGGCAGGGGACCGGTACAACGCTGCACTGGGAGAAGGGGTGCTATGTCTCATTCCTATCACCTAACACCTACAAGTCACAGTAATGGGGTGCGTTGAGGAAAGCACGGTGGGCATTGGTTAGCTGAACCACGCAAGACCAGCCTTGGCACTCGAGGTGCGCATGGCGTGGCTCTACACCACGCGGCCAGACACCATGCCCTCAGTTTCTAAGGCCCCGCGTTGAAAATGGACACTAGATGCTTGTAGATAACTGAAAACTACATGATAGGTCCCTAGATCGCAAAAATTGATATGGACTTGCTGTTCGTGGGTAATGGACTACACCATAGTACGCCAACGAGCCGGCTAGGAAACTAATGGATAATGATTCGTCTGTTTACTAAACATGGCTGTTCCTACCATCCACAGCTAAGACCCTTATTGTGGCTTAAAAACGATATACATGGGCATCACCAGCCTCTAGAATGGTAGCCGTCAAAGGCAATCGTAATGAAATGCTGATTCCAACTACGTGCGTTGGCGTCCTCGCTCTGATTCAGACAGGGCTGTTCCGGAAACTGCCTCAGGTTGGCCACATCGTGGGAGGCATGGCGGCGCTTGAGCACGGCATTGGCAGTCGAAGTCTTCTGCTGACGCTCCCAGAGAATATGGCGGCGAAGAGACTCAGGCATCTCAGAAGCAAGCATGTTGCGGCGAGTTGTTTGCGGTGATAAAACTGCTTGCGCGATAGTAGGCTGGATGCTCGAGCGAGGGGCCTCGATGATAGGTTTGAGGTTGGAAGGACGCACGCCCTTCAGCATTAGAGGACCCTCATCTTTATCATTAGCAGAGGCTCCCAGGACTGTAATGGCGGAGTGGGATGCTTGTTGCTGAAGCTCTTTTGGCAGTTCTGTCTGCGCAAGCATAAGAGTGATGAGCGAACGGCGGGAGAACAGGTTAGCCTTAGGCTTAACGCGCTGGAAGAGATTCGCGTCAACGCTCGATTTGCCGCTATCTTGCACAGAGTCCTCCCAATCCGAAGAGTCGTCATCGTCAATAGCGCTCTCGTCAACGGTCGGTATCCGAGACCATGGCACTCTCTGAGATGAGATGCTCTGCAGGCCGAACGTCGTAGAGGCCATCTCCGGAGCCATATATCCGGATAGCCGGCGCCCTCTTAGACTCGGTGGTGCGCTCAATGGATGAGTCGTAAGGGGCAGCTTGAGCGACCCCTAGAGAAAACGAGACGAACAACTTTGCTAGTGCTTCTTGCGGCTTCTCGTGCACTCAATGTGACGGAGTCTAAGGCGAGTCTCCTAAGTCAAACATAAAAACAAATTCGGACGTATCCTAGTTATAAGTGGAATAAAAATGTAAGTTTTCTAAGGAGAGCCTCTAGTTTTATGTAGTTATGTGTATCAAAGCGGGCGACCTTAGTGTCTTTAAGCTGTCGGCCTGTCGGCTTATCACATGCAGTAATAGTAGTAGAAATAAATAGATACATCAATTAAGACTATACGTCTATCTCTATCTATTCTAAGGTGCTAATCGGTCTTACGAGCTACCTCCATGATTGTGAATTTAGCAAGTAGATCGGGCAACATCGTATCGTCAAGGCCGGTAGGCAGCTCATAAGTATTCTTAAAACACAATTTTCCGCAGACCTTAGCCATAATTTGAAGTCGCTCCTCATCAGAGCGTCCAATATCTGAGATAACACCAAGGTTCTGAAGGAGCTTCAAGTTCAATTTTGCGGCTTCGGCTTGCTCGCCACGGCAGTAACGGCGCTGCAATGGCAAGAAACAATCAGGTAGACCAACCACTTTATTCTTGCTTAGCTGAGCTTGAAACTTATCGCTGAGGGTATCAAGCGAGTCATTAATAGTCCAGTCAGTAGACTCAAGCAAGGGCGATAAGGCTCGACAGAGATTGTAGTCGCTTGAGTATAATTGAATCCGTAAGTCCTCTTTCTTTCGCATACTAATGAGCATAGCCTGGGTGATAGCAGTGTACTTTTTTGTGGAAATATTCTGGACACGCTGAGCCGGTTGGTTTTCATCGGTATGTTGTGCGAGGTTTGGAACGAAGACCGAGATCTCTACCTGGTCTGAACTTCTGACTAGTATTAGCCTTCGTCATAGAAAGGGCTGCGATTACTTACAGGCCATGGTTCTTAGCAATCTGTGAAGCCATAATAACAGGCTGCCATTACGGTTATGGGATGAGTAGATTCGAATCCACGGGTAACGCACTTTATGATTCATTTAATTCAGGTCTCTCCTAGGTCATCCTGTCCTTCACCAGCCGGTGTTTCCTCATTTTGGCCATAGCCACGAACATGGTCTTGCCACAGTGCAGCGCAGATCCCACTTTGGATCGATCTAGCCTAGACATTGACTGGAAGCAGCAGCTGAAGCAGGGGATGCAGCTAAAGCAGGGGATGCAGCTGATGCAGCTGATGCAGTGGATGTAGTGGATGCAGCTGATGCAGTCGAAGCAGTTGAGGCAGTTGAAGCAGTTGAAGCAGTTGATCTCTTGCTGGCTGTAATTTCTTGGCAGATCGCCGAGGCAGCGCCGTAATATATACAAGCAATGCAACAGACGTCACGAATTGCTGAAAGAACTACAATTACTTAACCCATATACTTCCGTCCTTTGCTGCCTTCAAAATGTGTGACAACTGTATAGCTGGTTCAACAGGGCTGTCGTACTTTGCAATGACTAAAAACTCTTCCGCTGTGCGAATACCCATGTATTTACCTTTTGAGACCTTCTCCAGTTGCGTCCTAAAGCTCCCAAACTTCTTCTCGGAACTCCTGAGTATTTCGCAAGCGTCGGATAGATCGTCTTTGTCACTGTCGTTTTCTGTCGTGTTGAAGGGTGTGGCGAATACAGCGTAAGAATCACGGTTGTTCAATGCGAGGCATGTGTCGAAAGTTGGTAGGCAGTCCCGCAGACCACCGTCGCCGACTTTGCCTCTCCAGAGCTCTAGGTGGATCACATTGGCACCCTGTTTATTATTAGTACATGAAAGATAAAGTAGACAAGATACATTACCTCGCTATCTTGATCAGTACCTAAGAGGTAATGAATAGCCATACTGCATAGAACACACACAGTAGTTATGGTTATAGTAGAAGTCATGGGTGTTACTGGTGTATTATAAATACTACTATGGCTCAAATTGCTCAAATCCTACTAACCTTTCACTTGACTGGCCTGCAGTCTGTTGAAAGTGCAATAGATCCTTCCCCCTTCCCAGAGTCGTGCTATCGGGGCGCCCCCTGCAGCCCTCGCTCTTCCCAGGATGGCTAGGATCCTCGTCCATTACCAGACTTTCAAGATCATCGAGACTGATCACTTCATCCAGCCACACTGCGGTCGAGCTCTCAAGAGACAGCCCTTGTTGGGGAGAACTTCTATCCCGCCGAGGAGCTTGACTCGCCTCCTTTGCCTGATTTCGTAACCGGCGTGTAGATACCCACCCCATGACCTGCATGAGACAGATGACAAAAAGACCAACCAATGAGTGAAAGAAGTACTGTATATGCTGCAGAATGGGCGCCTTTTCAGCAGCCACAAAAGCAGCCACAAGTCCTAGCACAAGGCCCAACACGGCGGGCAGTGCCAGGCAAACCCAGTGTCGTCGCAAGCGTGCATGAATCGGGGCCGCATCGTTGGTGGAGGAAGCACCTGTTAGTGCCAAGGCTCCGCTGTAAAGCGTAACGAACACCCAAAGCCACTGCCTTTGCGTAGACACCAAGCGCCAAATCCCTACCACCAGAATAGCGGCGGTGATTAGGGAGGCACACGCTATCACAGCGTATTTCCTAACACCTCGGAATGGAAGTATGGAAAGACAGAGATAAGCCTAAGCTCATTGTTAGCACTTCCTAACTTGAAGTTCAACAGATCTTACAATTTCTGCCCCTAGGCATAGTCCACTAATAAGCTCCCATGTGTAGAACAACACGTATGAGGGTAGCTGGGTGTTCAGTATGCGACGCGTGATAAAAAATGCCGATACTAATGCGGCTGACACAACGGAGTAAATGACGAGAGCGACTCTCAGAAGACAGCGTCTATCTTTCAAAAATGTCTCCGGCAAGTGCTCGCGAACGAGGCAAAGCCTAAGGTAAGCCACTTCGAGGCCAAGTACAGCAAGGGCAGGAGCGTACTCAGTCACTCCGATGGGCTGCATTGCGCCGAGAGGCCGTATCCTAAAGAGCGGTGTGCCTTTTGCATTTGGACTTATTCCTATATATAAACACAGAAAATTGTTTAAAAAAATAAAAACTTCATGCAGAGTCTCTCCATCCACAGCTCGTTTAAAACTAGATGTCGTTTTGCTCCTGGGAGTGGGCCGATCAGCAAGCCTCATCGAAGCGTGGATGTGACAGAAACCCATTTGGCCCCTACGGAGTATATATGATTAGCCATTACTTCAGCTCAAGATCTAGCATATCCCGCCCGCACGTGCTATGAAGGAAATATTAATAGTGACTGCGCACAATGTGTACGCAGGAGCTGGGCGGCAAGGGAAGCTAGGCCGTATCAACGGGAGAGCGGCTGACGGTACAGCCAAGAGTAGTTAGGAAATGATCGACAAGTTTTTCTGTACAGCGCAGAAAAACTTGTCGATCATTACTTCTTACGGTGTACCTAGTAAAACACGGGTCAGCCACATAATTATTCAGCGTCTTGTTGACCACTTCCAGTCCAACAACGGGTTGCCCAGCCAGTCTTTCTCCTACACTCCACAAACTCAATCGTCACCATGGCCCAAGACCTAGCTGACTCGCTGATTCCCGCCAACTTGCCAAACTTTTTCGAAAAAATTTGGCCGCCCTTAAGCACCAATGCTAGATTGCTTAGCAAACTTCGTCCACATCTGCTCTCCTGTGTGCAGGTCATCCAGCAGCAAGAACCAATCCTGTTCTACGAGATAGTAGCTGACCAACAGGAAATCTCAACGCGCGCTCCCACTGCATCACTTCCATCGACACTCCTCTCTTCCTCGTCCGACTATACTACAACGACACCAGTTGCATCACAACTAACGCTGCCTAATCAACGACCATGTGGAATATTTCCAGCTACCAAATGTTTGTCCACTCGACAGAATACGTGCCAGCCATACGAAGAGCCCACATCTCGAACCTCTTCCGCACCTAAATTATTGTCCGCTCGACAGAATACGTGCCAGCTATACGAAAAGTCAACATCTCGAACCTCTTCAGCAACGAAATCTTTATCGACTACTCCAAAATCATGCTTCTTACCGGGTTTGCCTGAAACGGTACGACAAGTGCTACGGAATGCCACCGCGGAAAAGTTTTTCAAGAGTGGTTTCGGCCAAAACGACAGCCTGGATTTTTTCTTGGCTCTGGTGCAAGCCGATACAAGCAAATGGCTTAACGCCATAAAACAACGAGCTTTGAGCCTAGCAACTTTGCACATACGCGACAGAATAGTATGTGATGGATACAGAGGTGAAAAAGGTTACTGCAACCTGACAGCCAAGGACGTAATTGTCGATGTGGCGGCAGCATACAATCCAAAATTTTCTAGAGTCAGAATCTCTGAACTTATCACCGAAAATATCGATCGAGGAACGAGATACTCGCAATTGGCACAGGAGACATCGCTCAGCGCCGCTTTTAGCCTTTGCCCTGGTCATGCCTGGTGGTGAGTACATTTACTATCAACAGCGCACTCAGTGACTAACTATCTAGGTATGAGAAGCGCCTACCGAAGTCGAAGAATAACGAAAGCAGAAAGGCCTTCGTATCTAAATTGCGTGCTGAAGGCGCTAAAACAGATGCTGAGATAAATGAGGAATTCGAGCAGCTTCGAAAAACTGATCAACTCAACAAGGATGTCGAGTTTGCGAAGCGATTCCAAACGAAAATACAAGAAATTTTGGACTGGATTTATGCACGTTGCGATGCGTGGTTGGAGAGTGGTGAGCACACAGCAGAAACCATGCGATGCTTGGTTGAACAATCTTCGAAACAGAATGGTCGAGAAAGAGCCAAAGGACAAAGAAGCAGAAATGATACTGCACCGGCCCCAATCCAGGTCCTAATGTCAGATAACGGAGCGACTTCCGTGGAAATTGCTTCGAATGCCGACTTGCTGTCTACGCCTCCAGCTCTTCATCACGAATCCCTCGATGTGCTTGCAAATACTGCATTATTGCAGGCTCAGTCCCAGAATACCCCCTCCTATTCCTACGCAGATCATCATCACGCGACCGAAGCGGCCGACGTGACAGTGCACCAGGCTCGTGCATCAACAACGTTGAGTTCATCCTCAAGTGCTGCCTCTGTATTTGACGGCTCCTTACAGCCTCCTCATCTACATACGCGCTTGAGTGAGGCCAGTGCCACTCTGCCGTCTAATAATGGGCAAAAGAGACTGTATGATGGTGAGGAGGCCTCTACAACGAAGAGACAGAAGTCTGTTTCGGGGCCTACAGCATCAGGCCTGAATACTGGCGTTCAGGTTATTATGGCAGGAGGATTGGACGATCTTGGCCCTGATCTTGGCGACTATGCAGAGTCAACGCCTTCCCAGCGAACAGGTTTCGTGGATCAATGGGAATGGCCAGAAGCGACTACCGAGTCTGACATGTGGGACTGGTATACCGGAGTCCAGTTAAGGGACAATTTCGAAGATTTAGATTTCGGCCTCTAATATAACGACAGCTGTTGTCATGTGCAGCAATATCTCATTACCACCATCCAGTTCGTACCCAAACCCAGCACTATTTATTTCAGTCCACTTTACAGTGCCATCTTGTTGTGTTGTTGGGTAATCGAAGCGACCAAACATGAGGAAGACTATGCATGGTGTTGTCACTGCAACGGCAGTCCGGCCTGATGAGGCCTGCGCCTCCGCGAGGTATGCGTTTCGCTTAGGTTCCTTCAACTTCCTAGTGCGTTAGTGCTTTTGCTTCTATAATGTTAAAGTCTAGTACGTACGTGGTCCTTGACGAAAGTTATCATTTCATCATTATTTTTTCTGGTGTATGCGTCCCGTAACTTATCCCTTAACCCTATGGCGTCGGCGGGCTTGATCCTGCGAGTTATAGCCATATGCGGTGACTGAGACGTTGTATTACAGCATATACTGTTGTCACGACTTCTGGTTGATAATAATCTGC